CAACTACTAGAAAACGTCTGATACGAACGATATGGTAGTCCTGTCGTTTGTCGAAAAAAACAGGTTGGCTCAGCGCCAAGCGTGATCGCGGACACGCCCATCATCCGCAGCGAACCAGAGTATGAGTTGTACTGTTTAGTCACTTACGAGATGATGTCGACTTATTAATATTTCCAGTTATTTCGGATTAGTTTGATGAATGAAAGTTTTGTACTATTTTTTTACATATCCGAGTTCTCTACAAAGCAAGTTTCGCTGTACAGGACTCAGCACACTGACACCTTTGCGCTGCTCGTTACTGGCTACCGCACTCATTACGACCCCCCCCCTCTCCTGGCGGCCAAATACGACCCCCCCCCCATGGGGATTCCCCTACCAATGCGCCCTACGCGTAGCGCGCGCTTGGGTTGACGTCAAAGATGAAACGTACATCAGCCGGTTATGCAAAAGCCGTATAACAGGAGCTATTAAACGCACCTCAAACTTGGGTAACTAAACCGATTACGGTGCGCCCGATTGTGTGCGCGACATTTTTAACTTCACGCGCAATTTTCGGGGGTACTGTACGTAGCCTGACAACCTGAACTTATAATCTTGTGGCAGCAATCGGCGTGCAGGTACGAGTTCTGCTCTCAGCCAAGTTTCTCGCTAAAACCAACAGTTATTACAATAGTCGTCACGCTTATCGAACTGCTGTGCTAACCATAACGTCACCACGGCAGCCTTCCTCCTTCTCACCATCAGCTTGACGACTTTACAACATGCAAACATTTAACGTGATGAGCCGGTTAGCCGATACTTGGCACAAGCTTATGCTCCATATAGTGTAGTTCGCTGCGGACGGTTGGGCGTGTCCGTGCGGCTGCGCTTGGCGCGGTGCCAAACTCGTTCTACACCAGTTGTTGAAGCGGGCAAGTGACAATACTGTATCATATCCTTCGTATTACTAGTCTTCTACCACTTTTTGTCGCAGACGCTCTTCAACAAGAAGGCAGAGAACGGCTTTGATAGGGTGACACACTCATACTGGCTGACACGCCCAACCGTCCGCAGAGAACTATAGAGTAACTCAGCGTTTTCCTCGTAATTTTCGTAATACGAACTGTAGCTTCGAAGCAGCAGTCACCATAACAGATGTTCAAGAACATGCAAACATTTCAGCCTTATTGTTCTCTGCCAGATTCTCCTTACCGACTCAACGCGTTACCCCATCAGGCCACGGCCTAAAAATGACGAGCTCAGAAGATGGAAGCCGTCTCCAGCAGTGCAATGGTTATCACACCAGCCCAGTGAGCGTGAAGTGCACTTGCATCCTGGGGTCAGGTATCTTACCCGTAAGCCAGCATCCTCGTGACAGTTTCAGGTTTTGAAAGACAAAAATGGTAAAGCTTCGCCGATGACTAATCATTTTCTGGGATGGAGCATGTATTCTACTCCCGTTCAGAAAGGCAGTCATCATGGTCCGCCCCGCCCACACACACACACACACACACACACACACACACACACACACATACACACATGTTCACTAGGGCTATGACCACGTTCAAAATTATAACTGGAACAGTTCGATCGAGGTACCACATTACTTATAAGCGGGAGCAAAATTCCAAAACGTCAACGATATCAAACACGGTACATTTCGGCGACGGTGCGGGAGGCAGGGCACGCCATCTTTGTGATCATCACAACAGGGGGTCGTATTTGCCCGCGATGGAGGGGGGGGGTCGTAAACGCATGGCCCATGTTGAAGTGGAGAGAGCAGTGATACACGGTACAAGTGAAAAGAAGCTCGAAAGGGACGATGAAAATGACAATAAAGAGAACTAATCACTATTGAACTATTCCTACGCCAAGGAGTCGAGAAAAATTTTCGCTGAAACTTGTAGTAGATGTTATCAGATGTCCTGATCACGAGTATGACATCATGTCTCCACACCTCCATGTTAGGCGCTCTGCTGAGGCTGAAACTGGGAAAACGAATGATTTCTCCAAGGCCAGGCCAAAAACCCCCAAATCACGAAAATTGATTCGAAGCGGATATGATGTCGTGTTCAGTGGGTCGAAGTACCACTGTGTGCAAATTTTCAGCCAAATCTGGCCTTCTAGAAAAAAAACCAATAAAAGAGCGGCCTGATTTCGACAGACTGGGGTGGGAATAGTTCAGTAGTGGCGAAAACTAGATCACAAACTAGAAAATACCAAGAAACTAAAACGAAAATCTAAAAAGCATTAAAAACAAACGAAATGAAATAACTCACTAACTTTAAATGCTAGTTGTTCGCGGTCAGCCGCACGCGCCGCACGCGAGTAGTGCTAATTCCCACGCTAATAATACAAGCTCATTGGTGCGCGCTATTTTACGGCCTGGAGCCAATTTCAAGCCAAACACGTGAAAAGTACCCCTCATTTGAACACCCATAACTTCGTTGAAAGTGAAGCTATCGGAGAGGGGTAAGTGGGAATGAGTAGAGCTAGGTTGGCTCTTGTCACCTGAATTGAGCGATTTCAAAAACGTTCCGATTCCAGAGATTTTCCCCGTTGTGATCATTGCGTGATCGGTCTGTGATCATTCTTGCGGATCGCTACGGTTTGGACGTCCATGGCAAGTTTCATACACGGCCTTTTGCAAAAAAAAAAGAATTGTGCCGGAAGCCTGAAGATTTCTACTTTCCAGCAAGGCTTTAATTTTCTTCCTAGGCCTGCTATTCGAAAAAATTCCCGTTGTGATCATTTCGTGACCACCCCCCACGACACGAAAAATCAGCCCCTCCGAGGCCATGAAACCTCCAGTTGGCTTGAAGACTTTGGTATGCTTCTAAAACACATGTTTTCGCAAAGGGTATCAGGAAATAGGCCATTGGGCGCCAATTGGCATCACCTCTGCAATGCGCCATGCATGGGGCTTTCACGCAGGTGTTTGGAAGGTGTAACTTCTAGATAGGGCTTCCCAATTGCAAGCAAATGTGCTCCTACGATCAGAAAAGTCCGGGAATGTACTTTCATCTGTTTATTAATCGTCACGTCGTGAGTCCTTTTGTTTGTTTATAAATTCATGGTGCCCTTGTGGGCGGTGATCGTAGCTCCTATCATCGCCCCTTCCTCGTACGTATTGTCAGTATGCTACACCAGCGCCAGAGTGCTGGACGTGCTTGGGACGTACGTAGGTACTGCGACCTCCCCCCCCCCCCCCCCCGCTCGACAGCAAAATTTTGTAAAAAAACCAGAAATTTTTTGGGAAAAAATGGACAAAGTGGTAGGAGGTTGGGAAAATCTAGGAAAGTGGTAGGTAGCATGGGGAGGGGGGTCGTACTTGAGGATGGAATTAGGGGGGGTCGTATTTTTCAGGAAATGATCACAACGCAATGGCGTGCCCTGGTGGGAGGGGGTATTTTGCAATTTCGCTGCTTCACTAGTTCCGGTTTACAAGAGTTACCCTGGTGGAACTTGTGAACATTTGTGAAGCTGGAGCAGCACGCTCGTCAAGCCATCATCGTCAAATGATTTTGTATTTTATTTCATAGCTTTGCAAGAGTTGACAGGTAGTCTCTACAAGCTGTGGTTGGTATCATTTGTGTATTCACAAGATTTCCCAGGTCTTCACTTTATGGCTCCACACGGCGATGGGAAGCAGCAGAAGTGCAAAAGGTCCCCCCCCCTGTCGCCGATCTGCGCCAACAAAGAAATAGTAACAGAATAGGCTCATGATAAAAAAAGAATCTAGAAGAATACCTCCAAACGATATCCTGCAATTTTTACATTGCCGTCATTATCCTTCGTGCCAGGCAACTGCGAAAGGCTAAAAATGTGAGATCAGCAATTCAGATGTTCATGTTTCAGAGCCACAATATATAAGATTTTGATTATTTCAACGTACACTCCTTTGAAGAACGCAACATAAAATAGAGAAGAGTAGTAGTTAGCAAATTGAAACAGAAACACTTTGAAAGTGTAGCTATTGTCGAAATCTGCTTGCGTTCTCGGACATTCCCAGCGCGTCAGCCGGTGAGCCAACGAATTATAGAACTGAAAAATAAAGATGAAAAAAAAGATTTAGGATGTTTCAGAAAGATACAGAAGTAAGCACACATAATACAAAAGTAATACACAATAATCTGAAGAGCTTACGTAATTCATGCACAAAATGATGGACAGATTGATAAAGGCAGCAGTGCTGGACACTATGAGGAATGCATACGAATCCACTGTAGGGTTGTCCATCTGAATACCCAAAAATTATGAATAAACTAGTAAGTCTGCAGTAAAATTTGAGAAATGTTCCCACACTAGCCAGGAGCCGCATACATATCACTCGATAAACAACCATTCCGAAAACAACGGCAAGAACAAGACACATCTGAATAAGTTCTCAAAATACTTCAGAAACTTTTCTAAGGGATAGCTAAATAGAATTCAGAAAAAAACTATAACTAACAAAGAAAAGAACTGTGACTCCTCCTGCGCAGAAATTCGCAAACCTTTTCTTTCCCGAAAGGTAAGGTTCTTCTTGTTGTGTTACCGGATTATATCGCCGGGTTTTCACACGAAACTGGAAATCCGGACGCACCGTGTCCTAGAAAACCAACTGTCATAGTCAATCAGAGCCACAAATTGGCTACCATAACCACTTGGAAGGTAAATAAAATGAATAAAGCACACAAAACACGAAAAACATGACTGCTCTTCTGCTCTCTTCCTGCAAGAGAATACTCCTTCAGATTACTGTATAATATACAGAAATATTATACAACAATCTGAAGAACTTACGTAATTCAAATACTTCCGATGAGGGATGATTCTCATAAGCGCCCTCTATCGCCCCAGATCCTCTGAAGACAGTCTTCGCGCTCAACCGCTTTGTAGGCGTTCTTCCTTGTACAAGTAATCGTGGTCCACAATCTCTACCACCCCAGTTTTGGGGCTTCATAGGTAACAAGGGGCTGCAGTCTGCATTAAGGGCAGCTCTAACACCTCCATAGTTGCCATCTCACCAAAAGGCTATTCTCTGTCAGGAATTCAGTTTTTACACCACGTTTTTCGCTTTTCTCACTTTTGCATGGTATTGACATGCGAAGAAACAAGTAGTGAGACAAAGGTGGCATAAACCTTCACTGACATAAAACAAACAAGTCGGAAGAACTCGTCCAGAGAGGCTGTCAAATGGTTTTTTTCTCCCCTGGAGAGTAACTTAGCCACTTTATGGTTGTAGTTGAAACTATCCACAATGTGCAATCGTGGGGTTTGTCTCAAAGATGCTTCAAGAGTAAAACAGCTGACAGATGGACAACAGTAACAAAAAAAATGGAACACGCCAGCTCCCTTTTCAGTAATTTCGTTGAAATTTTTTTCAATCTGTACTCGAATACTGTGCCCTTATAAAAAATTAGCAATTGGTATCTGCTGATATCTAATATCTGATGTATCTAACCCTGCTCATTCATCTTCCAATATACAAATATCTAGCGGTTCAAAATGGATATTTTTTTGCTTGTTCCAAAGCGATAATGCAAAATGACATTGAAGGTTACATGACCAACACCTTACCTCTTCAACGACGAAATCGAGCAGACCCCATTTCCAGGCAATTTCAGCATGATACCTTTTCCAGCCTTCGAGGAAAAATGTAGCCCATACACACATCAGAGCAGCGAATATTACAGTAACACCATTATCAAAGAGATATGACATCTATAACACACAAAATGTACATTGTGGCTCAATGTTAAGCAAAAATAGCACCTTTGCATAGAGACAGCTGTTCTTAAGTAGCTGAAAGTCGCAATAGTTTTCACACTGAGGACATACGATGGTTGTTGCTCCAACGCCGTCGCTTCCACAAATATCGTTGCTTAAAAAAATAATGAACTTTACTCTTGATTCCGTACATCCCCTCCCTATCTCATATTTTGGTTCATAACCTTCAAATGGACAATACAATGGGCCTCACCGCTCGCCTCGCGTTTGTTTTTAGTAAACGGGGTATACTCTACCTTCGTAATGCGTCACGTGACGAGTCAATGATGATTACAATTGTGGACATTCGCCAAATAAGTTATTCGCCCACAAATCCTCACTCTGGTGTGTACAAAGCTACCGTAAAGCTCACAGTTTTTCTAATAATGATGAGTTTTGAGTCCAGTCTGAACCATGTTTTTAAATGTTTTTAAACGAATGGAACATCGGATACCACAAAAGCTGTCGGCACGAAGGGTGCACCTTTCATCATCATCAGAGATGATTATTCGTCTCCGTCGTCGTCCCACCGTGTAGGACGACGATCCTTTCCAAAGTTTGCCCTTACCTGACGGGGGGGGGGGTCAGGTTGATTACGAATGCTGGAACCACTGAACACCCAAACACCCTTTAAGAGCATTTCAAAGGGTCAAAACGCTCATTGTAATCGATTCTGGTCGTGTTCGCGATTTTAAGGTAGTGGTCAATGTTCGAGAACCGGTAGATTATCCTTGGCATCTTTTCGTCGGAATAAACACATTCCGGTCATTTCCGAACAAAATCAGGAACAGAGCATCGTATTCCAAGGCGAGTATTGCTTTCGTTTGGCCACATCGATAGTTGTAATATATCAACCTAGTCGGATGAAAGAAAGCTATGCACGGAACTTTTCCGGAGAAAAATATGTACAGTCGCTTTCGTGGCAGACACACGGGCCTCAGAGGGGAGGTTGAGGTAAATGCGACACCATTCCGTTCTCCAATCGTTGAAGCGGGCAAGCGAGAACAGTAACTGGAAAACGGGTAGGCGCAGCTTCAAACCCGCCCTCCTGACACGCCCCAGCGTCTGCGACGAAAACGAGTATGCATATAAAAGGGCCGGGGACTAGGATAAACTTGATAAATAACACATAGACAAAAAAAATTATTTGCAAGTATGAGTCTGTGATATGGGAAAATTTACCTGACCACATCCTCAGACAAATTCCAAATTCCAAACAACACTGTTATGATACCCATGAGAGCTGCTATATATAACGATCGCGTATAATATCCCAGCCAGGCGAAGTAAAAGGCTACTTTAGTACCAAAATATCGCCTTAAATAATGAACTTTGTACATACAGTTGTTGCCGAAAGCCATCAGTGAACAATGATCCGGAGCTGCAGGCTCAAGATAAGGTTCTCGAATCAACTAACTTTATGCAGTCCAAAGGCTGGTACTTCAAGATATTCCTCCACGAAACCCAGTGGTTGTACAATAGCTCTCGCTGAGACAACTCAGTTCCTCTGGGCACTACTTCTCTGATTGTCTGAATTTGGAATGGACAGATTAATGGAATGTACCAAAACCAAGGTTATGCGTTCTATACCCGTGAACTAGTTTTGTCATCTACTGTTCTTGAAAACTTAGAACTGCACGAAAACTTCGCACCTGATGAAGAGGAAATGCAGCGTTGTAGACACCTTGGGCCAGCAATCGTTCAATACCAAATCGGTACTGAGTCGCGCGCTTCTTTAATATGGGACTATCATAATGAGCGCGAGTGAGCAAATCGAAGACCATTCGTGATCTCTCCGCATTCGGAAATAAGATGTCGGGTCGATCCCAGTTAACGAATCTAGAAATACAAAAAGTTCGCAGAAACCCAGCAAAGGATGGAAAACAAGCGAAGAATTTGTCAATCATTAAATGATTAAATTGCACGAACAACTCACTGTTTCCGACGATCGCTGGAGTAAGGCGCAGTGAAGAAATCCGGTTCTTCCAGAACCTTTCTCACTCGCGCATCAAAATCAAATATACCAATTCGAGAAAGAATGCTGTCTACAAAACCAGGAAGAGAGGTTCTATCCTAAAAATATTGGAATTCAGACAAGCGCACGCTACATTCAAATATTACGTCGTGTGCACCTGGAAGACCACATCGCTTTCCTGGACAGGAAGCTTCACAGAAAGAAGTTGTGCCTGCTTTTCGAGAACAGCAAACGGCGCATGCAGCAACACAAATCGTGTGCGACCGAGCTGAAAATTAGGCGTAGCATAGAAATGATGATTTAAAAAAATTGAAATATAAATATTGGCATTCACCGTTTCGGCATGTAATTCGAACGTGGTGTTACAAGACTCAGAGAAGAAAGAGGGAGGAAGGGCGTCAATAACTTTGGAAGGGGGGGGGCATACCTGTAAGCGCTTGTCTAGTCTTTTCAGAGTCGTGTCTCACACTGTAAGTCCTGTCGATTCCTGTCGACCACTAGGTAAACTCCTGTGGAGCTTGACGAAATGGTACTATGATCATTTGATCGCCTTTTCTACATTTTCATCCAATCTTGACCAGTCATTTTGACAAGTTTAATGGGATACAGGGTGTTTAGCAGTGATAACAAGGCTCACACGGTGTTGTCAAGGTTCTCCGCTGTTGCATACAGTTCACAGGATTTGTTGTGCTAACAACCGCTTACAGGTGTGCTCTCCCCCTAGGTTATTAGCGCTGAAAGGAGGACATGGTTGAAAACGTATCCAATAAGACCGCGTGCTTTCGGTTTCGACCATCATACGAGCAAGTGTGGAGGAGATAGTGCAGGTGAGGGCGAGAGATCACACGAATCAGTGGCCCAGCATATCGTTTACATGCATGTAGGCAACTCGTCGTCATGCTCTTGTGGTCCTAAGTTGTTAGCCGCCCGCTACCTGAGCTCTCGTAGCGCGAAGACGGCGCTTCCTTGCTGACTGCGGACACATGTTACCCATTTATGAAGGTAACTGGGCTTTCTTAAGTAGCAGCCACAGGAGCACGCCAATACTTACTTACTTATACATAGTGATGAATTAAGGAGCTGTAGCAGTGAAAACCAGTCGAAAAGAAGGAAGAAAGTGTTACAAAAAGGAAGGTCATCACACCGCTTTCCCACTCATCAAATTGCTACCAATGTGATGACAAGACCGTGGGACGATACTGCGGTGCAGCCTGGCTTGGTGAGGACATTGAGTGGTACTTCGCTAAACTTATACAGGCGTGAAGACTTGTGAAATAGTGTGACCAAAGTGGCTCGCCCTTAAGGTTCCGCATCTTCACAGGAACTCACAGTTTTGACCATCTGAGACCTGTTAGTTGACATGAACCAGCAAAAGAAAACAGCGAAAATGCCACATCCCCCCCCAAACCGAAGCGTCCGAAGTTGTTGATTAAAACTGCAATCCCTTCGTAATCTCCGGCATGCTACACGCGCCACGAGCCTAATCAGGGAAACTGCGGCTTGCTAACCACCTAAATAAGCTTCCAGGACCACAAGAACTGAATGGCATTTCTCGACTGAATGGTTTTCAGAAAGGAAACATGGAATTTGTTGAACGTACCGTAGGTGAAATATTGACTCGCTCGATCTGCAAACCCATTCGTTGGAGATTCATTTCGTAATAGTATCTTCTCAGTGGTTTTTTCTCTGAGGCGCTTGTTGGCGATTGTGGACTATCCTTGTCCTAAACCAACTCACTGTCCTATGATTAAACATAACATTTAGCTGGATGAAAAATTCTAGCGATCGTTTTGAAAAGCTCGAATTTCTAGCGATCGCTTACAGCGCTCATCTTCTCAGAATATGCAAGCATAAAAATGCCAAAATACCCTTGAGTTTCCAACAAATGCATAAGTATCATACATCATCGTCTTCATCTGGATCAATTTCAGCTGCAGACGGCCCATCGCTACTTGTTGAACCGTTAGCCGACTCATCCTCATAGGCAAGCACATAATCAATCTGGAATATTACCGGTTGTCCATATAACATTATGAAAGAAAACTCGGCACTAATGATTTATTCCTACCCCGATCTTCCGAAATCAGGCCAGTTTTTTACCGACTTTTTTTCTACAAGAGCAGACTTGGCGAAAATTTGTTTTTAGGGGTAGTTTGACATTTTCAACACGAATTCAACATGAGCTCGGTCTGAAACTGCCTGGCGCCCGCTCTATAGGCACCGCCGCCAAAATAACTTAATCACCAAATTCGCCAAAAACTTATCCCCTGGGGTAGTTTGACCTACTGAACATGAATAACATATCTATAGGGCGCCAATAGACTTCGGTATCGAGGAAAGGCAGTTTGCTGCGCTTGTCTGCATCCCCTGAAGATAACGACCCCCTCCATTCCTAAGACTGAGCCTGACCTGAGGGGAACAACTTCTCCTAAGCTCAGCCTTAGCAGACGGCTAAATGGCGCCAGCGCCAAAGACGACGATGATTCGCGACAAGGATGTCAATAACCTCGTGAACAAGTTTCCACCGATTTCGGTGAGAAGGGTGGTAACGCCGAAGTGGAGCCTAATGGCGCCAGCGCCAAAAGTAATGTAATATCCGCGATCAGCACTCCGAGTTACCCATACAGTTGAAGTTTCAGCAAAAAAAAATTGAGTTTTCGGGGTAAGAATATTTGAATGGTGCCGAAAACTCAAATCAAACACTACTAACCTGTCGTTTTCCATCCGAGAAATAACAACTTTTGTCCCATTCCAGCGCGAAAAAATCTTTCATCTCCTTGGACTGATACTGGAAAAGGAAGACAAACTTAAGAGCTGTAAATATGATCCACCACATCAAGGATTTCATGTCGGTGTCTTATCAAGGTGATAAGATACCAACATGGCATTTTTTTCATTATCGATTAGAAAACATTAGATATAACATAAGTGGCAAAGTTGATAACATCATTTCGAAACGCTCACTTCATATTTCTTTTCGAGGCTGTCGTCACAAGGCATTTCCGCATGGCCGAGAGTAAGGCCGATATCACCACCACCAACACCACCACCACTTATTTCCACACAATCGCTCACATCTCCGTTGTTATCGGATTTCACTGCAAGAATCCCACCTAGACATATTGTGAACATAACCATAGTGTGAAATTGTAGTGCCTCACTGTGAGCATGGGTCAAAATGGAAAAAAAAACTAGGCTTTGTTCAATTCCTGACCTACTCTGTTCTCTGTGTTCCGTTTTCCTTCAACTCATGTACTGAAGCACTGCTTTTTTGTCGTTATAATAAACCCACTAAGATGTAATATTAATTGCTAACCAAAAGCGCTTAACCATATAATATCACCTTCGACAAGACCAGAGTTTCAAACATTTTCATTTAGTGTTGCGTATTAAATGCACGCTCCGCGTTCAAGAATGGTCTCCAGTGCGGCTCAAATGCTACTGACATTGTGGGGAATGACATAAACACGAAAAGAGCAGGAAAGAACCAGCCCGAAATTCCTCATATATACCACACGCTGAACCGCGCTTGTATGTGCATAAGACGAGGAAAGGGCGTGGTCACGAGTCCTCACTTGTGTTCGCCAGCTCTTTCTCCTTATGACCTCATCTCACCAATTGAAAAGAAGTGAGAGAGTAGCGAAACAACCACACCATCAGAAAAGGAAAGTTGGGCGTTGCTTTAGCAAGTGGGTGGGCCGTGGCCTCGCCCCAAGCGCAAGGGCTTATCATTCATTTTCCTGAGCTGCGGAGGGAAATACTATTATACATCTTCTAGTTGCGAATAGGACTGCTATATTTAAAGAACGCGCTTGAACATCAAGTGAACAGCGTGCCTTCGCGCATGGGACAGTGGTCACTCATACCCTAGCCACACTTAGAAATGATTAAAGTGAAAAACAGTCTCAATCGAAGCAACACACCTTGCTTACAAGTGAAATTAAAATTCCAAAGGCAAGGGCTCAGTCTAATGAGCATCAAAACTTTAGCGATGTTATAAGGAAGTCTCTTACCCTTACGAGATATACATGAGCGAGAGTGGCTCGGCATCTGAAAGAATCAGAGTGATGGAATACAAATCAAATCAACGAGATTAGCGAACTTCATACAGCGCGCACGATGTCGTTTAGATAGTAGGTAGTGAACCAGAAGTATGTTCCCTTTCGAAAGTCTCATTTATGGTGATGTCAGGGCTGGCAAGAGAAACCGTTCTTCTGATTTCGCTGTCCGGCGTTGAGGAGCTATTGCACTTTGGCCAGTTCCTTTTGTTAGTTTATGTGGAGAATCAGGTCCCATTTTGGTGAGACCTGAGTTTGCGAAATGGTGCGAGTGAGCAACTTCGGTCACAGGACTTTGCAAGCCTTCACAGGACGACCCACGAGCTTAGCTGAGTACCATTTGATGCCCCCCCCCTCCAAGCCGAAATGCTCCTATTGTAATCCAAAAATTAAGATTACATGTTCAGACTACTACGCCACTATCAAGCGCATAGTAACATACATAAAGATTTGTAATTCAGTTCGAGATACAAGGAATCCCTTCGCCAGGGCACGGGGGCGTAGTACTTCACAAAGAAATGCTTCCAGGACGGAGCCATGGATCGCTGATTTCAAAGCTGCCTCTCACATCTGTAGAGCGCTGCTCGCTTGTGCGCAGTCAAGAAGGACATTATGAACGCTGCCCTTAGACCATGGAAATCGTGGCGAGCGCGCAGCTGTGATAGGCCATAGGATCACGAGCACAAAATCGACTTCTTGCTGGACTCATTTTTGCTTTTTTTCCAGAAAGTATGGTTGAAAAGACTCTAACATCGCACCTTCATCAACTCTTGCGTGTATTTCTCGGAATGCTTGGGTAGTTTGCCGCTTAGAATTGTCCATTAAAAAGCCTAAAACCTCTATCTGTTTGGAAATTTGGTTCGGTGTGTAGTTTGCTCTCCCCCTAGGCACAAATACCAAGTTCCCAGAAGAGTCATACCACCTCTGTAACTAGGCTAAACTTTTGACTGGTGGTAGAATAACACGCAGAGAATGTCGTCTTGCCCGAAAGTTTCGTGACTGAATCTCCCAGAGGAATCACTGGAGTATAGGGAGTGTAATGTGTGCGGTGTGAAGATCGCCGGAGGGCGCTGGCATCCAGAGTGCGGTGTTACAGTTTTCTGCGGTTATGGAATCCGTGCTTAGAATGTGGAATTATTTTAGTGTTAAAGTTTTAGTCAAATCACACTCTTCGTGATTCCGGAAAATTGGGAGTCTTAGGTCCTTCGTAGAGAAGTTACGGACGTCCTCAGTCACTGCGAGCTAACATCGACGACCGATCTTCAGATCAGGGTTCAATACTGTGATAAGTAAAACAACGGTGTCATTATAACCCCCTTCCCATACACCCATATCCCTCTGATATGACCCTCACCCCTCTCACAGCTTATCTCCTATCTTCCCAAGTTTGCCCAACTTCGTGCAAACTTCCACTTTCCACCTTCCCAAAAAAACTGCAACCGAGCAGGAGAGGGGCTCGTCACTAATCAACTAATAGAAACAGTGGTATGTCACAGTGCGCCACCGTCGGCAACCTGGGGGAGACCGGCCAACATTGACCGGATACGACTATCCCTCCATTGCGACACTATCAGTGATGTATATAGCGCGAGTGAAAGGAGAAAAATTAACAATCGAGGACATTTTGCTTAGACCGAATACGACCCTTCTACAGCGACCCGTTACGACCCACCTCCACACCCATAATGCAGACTCGAACTTCGAAGTGAGGAATGGTGCCATGGTCATGCCAGTGGGTTATTATTAGACACAATAAATGAATAAATATATACAGCCGTGTATGTATTTTCTTTGTACACAAAATTGTAAGAAGGCTGCTGTTTACACGAGAATCAACCTCATGTGAACCTGATGGTGCACTTTGTGGACACCTGTCTTGAATGCAAAGCTGTCCTCTTCGAAACTATTAAATCAAACAACAAAGTACCAAGAGGCCTGGTGGGTTTCCTTCAGATCCGACGCAGCTGCTGGTTAGAAAAATGCCAACGAGAACACCGCCACCGCCTTTTTACTTCGAAAGACTGCAGCGAAATCCTGCGGTGAGGAAACATTTGACCCAGCTCCTGCTTTTTCAGATAGCATAAAAAGATAACTCAATCCGCAAATCAGGTTTCTATGTTTTTTGCGCCCTGGAACTGCTGATTCAGGCTACCGTGAACTTGTAGGAAACTACTCCAGTTCTTTTTACAGGTAAATGTACACAAAAGTTGTTGAACTCATGACGATGAAGGTATTTCAGCCACGTTCAAAAAAAGCAGAAAAGCAAGCTTGGCTGAAACTCGATATTACGATCTACTGCCTGTGAGATAAACCACTTCCTCTGCGAGCACCTCCCATAAAAACCTCCACCTAGCTCTGCAAACAAGACAATTTCGTGTCACACATGATATATAAAAAGGATGCTGGATAAAGTCTTCGCTACAGATCAATCCCTACCTTAGATACGGCACGCATTCTACTTCCATTCAGAATCGTAGTGGCTTATTGAATGCGATGTGGCCTATACAATGACTTGCGGGGCCAGCCGATGTACAAGTCAGTGTTCTTATCCTTTCCAAGACGAATCTGGTACCAGTTAATCGTCGCCGAAGGGTAGAAGGCTACTTTAACCAGGGCGAGAGCCGATGAAAGACTTAACCCTTGACCTCGCCCGTGGTAAGCGCTTGCCACCTGCCACCTCCGTCTTCAGCTTGTAAGATACACAGTTTAACGACCCTTACAGAAGTGTAAAGGTTACCGTGAACAAACATATCGTTCCGGGATCCTTTGCAGCCATTCGCAACTCGAAGTTGAAGGACAGAAAAAGAAAAGCATAAAATATGGCTGCGAAGTCGCAACACTAGCGAAGAATGTCCTCTACCTCCAGCGCAAAAGAGAAGCATTCTCTTGCAGATAAAACAGAGCGCAAAACAAAAAGGTAGGGTCTCGGAAATCACCAGGAAGCCTAGGGCAATTTGAGGGCCTGTTTTGTGTGGATAGGTGTTCGACGAACTGGTAAGATCCATAGAAAGAGACGAGAACAAAAGGGTTGAGACAATAAAATTTTGGGGAAAAACGTGCCACAGAGATATGGATCAGTATGATAATAATAGGCTGATAAAGCTCCATTGGTGCACAAACGCTGAAACATATGACTGAAAATGAACATAGAAGATTCGAATCACTGCTGATTACAGTCCCTTTCTAAGCCCACAGAAAAAAAATCACTGTATGAAAACAGAAAATGAACCATTCTGGAAGTGAATGGCAAAGAATCAACAATAAAAACGTTGACTCACGAAAGCGAACAGTCACTAAGTAACCAAATTGTATAAATATCAGACTCACACCTTGATAGGGCACTCAACGAAAGAAAAAGTGGAAGAAAGTGATGCACTCAGGCGATTAACGGGCTGCATTCACAGTGACTAACACTGACTATGATCAACTCAAACACTAAGTACTCTAAGTGTGAATAAACGTGTCGGGAAATGGCAGGACCACCTCTGTTTGAACCCTTAAAGAAACCCTTCGTAAGCAAATCGGTTTTCCATTGCAGTTCTACGATTCACTGATGTTACTATAGTGGGCCCATACAATAAGCGTTGAGAGGAAGATACATATGCAGGAGCACGAGCTCGAGTCACGACGTACGTAGTTAGGAGACTAAGTAACAAAGATGTTAAGAGAATCACGTCAAAAGTCCAAAGAGCTCGTGTTATGAAGTGGAGCTGCAATGATGGACCGGGTCCTCCTAAGATCCAATGCTCTTTCTTTATTATGTCAGGTCTATCAGCATGAATCACTACACAAAATATACGATCTATCGATAAAAACAGAAGCTTACAGCGTTGCACCGATGGGGTCCCGGCCGGCAGATGAATACACATTTCTTCGATACTCAAGATCGATAGATCGATTCATCTCTTCCCCAATCAGAAATCGAAGTCACCCAGAAGACTT